GTAGAAAATGTTAATACAAAACTATATCAATTCTATAATTTTCACTAGAAAAATATAAATGCCTGATCTACAGACGTAATTATTCAATAATCATAAAGCTTGTAGTTACGAACTAAGTTTCTCTTTGAAGCAGTATAATACGTCGTTCAAGTGAAGTGAAACAACTCGAAAGCTTTCAAAAGCTGACGTGCTTCAAGAGACATTATTGTTTTTTGATTTAACTATTGTTTGTTATGAAGTTTCTTTATCGCTGGATCGGCTCAAACGAGACGACAGAAACGTCAGTCAGCAATATTGAAATCAGTTATCTATTTACACTGATTTTCAATCCCGTCAACCAGTGAACCAGGGTAAACAATTATCAAAACATTATCGAATATGCTTAGAAAATATAAAGGGTGCTATATATATTGAAATTTTTCCCCTTTTGAAATTTCTTCCTGAGTTTTCTTACAATCATTCAGTCACGTTAGATTGTTATTATAAAGTTTTGTAATTCCTAACTGCATTTATTGTAACTGACCTAACTTAAGAAATTTATTTTAGTCTTCTTAGCGAAAATAATGTCGATAATAAGCAAATTAATATAATAATAATTATCATTATCAATGATCAGAAATAATATATCAATAGCGGTAATGACGATAATGCTGATTTAGATGATGGCGAAGTAATTTCCGGTGATGATGAGTGATGAGAATGATAATGATTTCATAGACAGACTAATCGAGGGGGACATTGGGGGGCTCTGAATACCGCAATACCGCAAAAAAAATTCAAAAATCCCGCATTACCGCATGAAAAAATCGATTAGAAAAATTAGATCTGCAAGCATTTTTCTCGCAATACCGACATTTTAAGCGATTTTTCCCGCAATACCGCATCTTAAAACTTCAAATMCCGCATATCGCACAAAATAMAAATCCCGCATTATCGCATTTATTTTGCCAAATTACCGCAATATCGCATGAAAAAACGGTCAATCCCGCAATCCCTTAAACCCCAATGTCCCCCTCCTAATCGGGCCTTTACATTACTCCTTAACTTAAAACAATTTGCCTGACTTGTCTTTAGTACAAAACAGTTTTCAAAACTATCATTTGCTGATATAAAGAAACAATCGAAAGACGATTGATAAGGTAAAGACTCGATTAGTCTGTGTTCACAGCAAAGRTAGTAATAAYAATGTTGATAATGATGAAGGTGATGACAGTATTGTTAACTCGCATAAAGTGTTTTGGTTACACGTTGTCAGAACAGACCGCTGCGTTATGAGACCGAAGAGKATTTGTTAGGGTACTAACGACATGTGTAGTAACAGGGATCAGCGTTATTTTATGCTCAGGGATCACATTTTCCTCATTTGTTACTGAGGCTCCTCATGAATAAGAGTTTTAGTTTGGAATCGCGATTTTATATAAAAATCATGGTGCAATGTGGTCTTATTTGGTTGCATTAACAATAAAATATTTGTGCTTATTCTAGACCACAATGCAATGCACGAAAATCTTTTTAAAGGCTAGAGCTATCATGTTTACCCACACTCCATTTCGGTCTATTCGCGCAGATGTGAGCAAGGCCAATGACAACGCTTAATCAAAAGACTGTAGTGATGGACTACCCTGCAGTCCTACATGGAATCCATATCCTGTAAGTTCCCATATCGCGGTGTCTCTTGCCTTGTGCTACCAATGTCAGCATACAGCGTTGGYTGATCACCGCTTCCACCAGTGGAACGTCTGTCTGATGGAGGTCTTTCYCCSGCYGGYGTCTCGTGGTCCAGGTCTGCATAGATAAGCTCACCTTCTCCCTTWATGTAGAAACGTTATGTATGTTAATGGTGATTGGATTGGAATGATTAAATTGTTTTGGACAATATCATAAAATAAAAGGACGCAGATAGGAATTTCACGTTATCAGTCAAAACGTACATACTCTAATAATTGAGTTAACATCTAATGTGAAAATTGCTCAAGGTTTGTGAAATCATGAAACATAATTTTTGCCGTTTTTCCAGGTACGCAACAGAGTAAATGGTGATTGGACTGGAATGATTAAATTGTCATTTGGACAATATCATAAAATAAAGGGATGCAGATAGGAATTTCACGTTAGCAGTCAAAACTTACATACTTAATAATTGAGTTAACATCTAAAGTGAAAAAAGCTCAATATTTTTGAAAACATGAAAACATAATTTTTGCCGTTTTTCCAGGTACGCAACAGAGTATTTGTGTACAGGAATTTAAGTTCCTGAAAACTATGGAATAGTGGCGTCGTCACCAAAGCTTATACCCAAATCAAATATTTGTTTTTACAAATAGGGTTTCCTCTTGGAAATTATGTAAGTCATCAGTTTATACTAACTGGTCTTTTCTTCTTGGTCTTTTTACTTTTATCCACGGCAGCATACTGTACTGTAGGTTGAGCACGATCTGTTGCTTCCCTGTTGGGTTGCTGTGTAGTGGCATAGACATTATCGTCGTCACCTATAGCATTCATGCGAACTGAACGCCTTAAAGTATGAAAAAAACATTTATTGTTAGTAGATAGATAACTGTTACGTTAGATATTCTGGGACCGTCTGTTCAGGCAATTTCAACTGAATCACAAGAACAAGATCAGGAAAAATGGGAGAAGGAAAAGACAAACACACAAAGACAAAAAAGTACAAACGGAAAGATATCAATCAAATATGTCGAGGCCAGTCCTATCACGCAAAAAATTATGGTACTTACTCGTTTCGTTCTTCTGAATCTGTAATTGAAAAAAAGACAAAAAAAAAAACTTCAAAAATTTCAAACTATAAACTTGCACTAGCATCGCCATAGTGTACAGTGTATCATAAAAACTAGAATATAGACTTATGCTTGTGTAATAGACCGGCAGAAATCTCCCCATTGGACAAATGAACGATACGGAACGTCAGTCAGAAAGGGATGGTCATTTGATGGACACAATTAAATATTACGCACAGACGCTTTCATAATGTAGTCCAAGGAAATTATTCTTGGCCACTCCACGTAAACGTTACAAAACAGCAATTCAGTCTAAGCTGTAATTGGCTTTTTATTGAAAGTTTACTATCACCAAGTGAAACATGCACAGTAAAAAAGCCCTTTTATCGCTCCCTTCGCCACGATACGAAAACCAGCAATGCATTTCGGTATTGGAATTCACTTTCCCATATCACATCATTCAGTATCGCTAAGCGTGTCAAATTTAACAGATATACCACACTAAATAACACCTTAAAGAAAATGATAAAATATTAACATCAAAGCGGTGTTGTTCTAACAAAAAGCCCATATTGAACACGTTGCACTCACTTTTTCTTTTCGCGCAGCATGGCTGGTATGACTGGTTACCTTTCGTGAGTAGTTTTCTTCGTTTCCAGAATATAATCGCGATAATAAGTCCAGCAATGGCAAGTATGGCTGCTATGACAACACCAGCGATGATACCAGGATGCACATCGTCAGTAGGACTGGGTGTTGGCTTGGTTACCGGCGGCTGACAGGAGACATCTGAAAAAAATAGCCACACATTGCTCTTCAGTTATATCTACTGATTTTCTTACTAATAAACTTCGCCCGTGAAACAAAAGCAGTACAAAATGCGTGCTAATCCATGCTAGAGTGCTCGCACTAAATGTAAATACTACAAAATAGGTGATGAATTATACAAATTTCTTTGTTTCCTATTGTATAATCAACACTATTTAGTAGTAATTAGTACTATTCGTTTCACGCTTTAAGTGCGAGTACTCTACTTTCATTGTTTCCTACTATTTGTTTCATGGATTGTAGTGAGCTCACTTTTTTGACATTTGAACAGAATTATCAATTCCATCGATTCTCCATCAATCAGTAATGCAACTTGACAAAGCAATCAAGAATAAACAAAAACAAACTTACTTGTTTTAATCAATCGTACAACGTATTTATCAGAACCCACACTATTGTTTGCAACACACGTATAGTTCCCAAACTCTTCCTCATCTTCGATCTTAAATTTAAATACAGAACTGTCGCCTTTCCTAGATGGGCCAGTCCATTTTAAGGTAGGTTGTGGACGTCCGTCTGCTTTACAATTCAGCTCTGCTTCATCGTTAATGCAATAAGATTTTTCCTCAAATGTTTTCTCTATTTCTGGAGCATCTGCAGTACAGTAAGGATTAAGAAATAGTTAAAAACAAGCACATATCAGCGAACATGTGTGGTACATAGCACTGAGTGGAGTAATGTAAAAAATATCTTCATTGCTTCATTGTTTGATTATAATGTAGTTGACAATAAATAAGGGTTTTTTTCTACTTTTTTCGGTTTTCCAGCTTCCGCCCCTATATCAAAGCCGCCAAGTTTGTCCCCCTGCGAGTAGTATAACACAGTCGTGGCGATGTGCTTAAGATTAGTTCACTTGTTACCGGGCTAGAAAATTTAGGATGGCAATAAAGTTTTATTGTATAGCATGATTTACTGAATACTCTGTAGATTGCATTAAAGTAGAAAGAGGTACAAATTGCGAGCCCTCCCTCCGGATTTAGTCTCGCAAATCAAGTTCCGCAATTATAAGTCCAATGCCGGAAGCTGCTTGCATTTGGTGAAAAGTATATTGAACGTTATCGGGGCAAGGAGATTTAATCTGTTCGACTGGTGCAATTTTTAATTTTTGTGGGATTTTTTGACAAAAGCATCAAATTTAATTTTGAATATAGTATTGAATATAGTATTCTTACATATTACTCAAACAGACTATAGTTTGGAGGATGCAAGGGCGGATTGTAGTCAGGGGGATTGTCTAACATTGTAGCACACGGAAGAGGGATATCAGGGGAGAAGGAGAGAAGTGCCTGACGAGGTGGCAGGAACTGACACATTGAAAATGTTTAGTTTCCTTCATTCAGTTTCAAGACTCTTTGAAGGCACAAAATTAATTTGTCTTAGGAACTAGCGTGAAAGATACCCAAATGATATTCAGGTTATACTTATCACGACCAATGCATTATCAAAGCACACTTTATTTATGAAAAATAGCAAAAATACAAGTGTATTTAGGATTACAAAAATATTGGACGTTATTCTAATAAAGCATGATTTTTCTTAATTTTTGATAGATATCAAGTGCATTATCTATTTATGATGAGAATATTATGAAAATATAAGCAATTTTACTTTTACAAAATACGTGACATTATTCTAAGTATAAAGGGAGTTTTGGAATCGTTTGAGAAATGCAGCCACTCTCAATTTTTCATCTAGTTATTACTATAAACGTGAAACAATCACAGCAAAGAAAAGTTCATTCACTATTATATCCGTAAACACTTTGGCACATATCTATAATTGGAAGAATACAAGAAAAAATCTCAACTTGTCTCAAAACATTGTCGCTGTTGAAGTTTAGCTTAATTTTTGTTCGTTTTTCGTGTCCTGATTTTTGTTGTGCGACAAGTTGCCAGTGGTCAGTCAAGGTGAAAAACGATAAACATCGTCGCTAAACTTGAGCAGAAAGACAAGTTGAGTTTTTGTATCTATTTCTCGGCCTCAAACGATTTCACAGATATCGTGAACGTACTCTTTTACTAAAATATACACGAAATAAAATCTCTAATAAGCGGCATTTATAAAAATCTAATAATCTACTTTTCTAAAAATTTCATCCAATATTCTTTCTGTTGCATAATCATTTCTAAAGAAGGACGATGCATGCGTTTAAGCGAAAATATTACATTTCTAATAAAACTGAGCGCAACTGTTGCAATTGGAACTCATACAAGCGACCAAACCTTGAGAATCCCCAAATAGTGGTCGTAACTCAAGAACTTGGTTGGGAAATCCCCTGCTACATACAAAAGGAATGAAAACGGGTTTTTGGCAACTGTTGCACTTAGATTTTCTTAAAAATAGAACTCTATTTATTCAATTTTGGTGACGATTGATGCGAYTACCAATTTACAATAATAAATGTATCTCATATTAAAATATATATTGAATTTGCAGCAAATAGTGGTGGCTTTATATCAAAGACTGGCATATACAGTATAATGCCATATTTCAAGGCTATATATAAATTTCATCAAAACAGTGTTGATACTGGAATTATAAAAATATCTCAASCGAAGGTGTTAGCGTGTAGGCATTGTCATTATACAATAAAAACSTTCTAAAAGGCGAGACGTCTGACTAAAGTACTAAATAATAATATCAAAAATTGTGCCTTTAGAAGTTTTTCTTACTTCTTAAATATTTTCCTTGTCTATTTTTTAGCAGGTGAAACGAAAATAACTTAACTATGAAAACTTGTAACGTAAACAATTCTTATTTTATAGATATAAAATGAAGTTGGATTAACAAAATCATARGTGCAAAAAAATGGTGGTTAAATGGTAAGTTAAGGACTGGCCATCCAGTAAAAAGGTGGTTATATAGGTAAGCAGAAAACTTTTGTTTGTTGACCTCCTCCAAATGTGACCTCTAAAACGCGGTCGTACTTCGTCATTGTCATATTACCCTAGGTTCCAGAGTCTGGACTTACTCTTTCGTATAGTTTATAAATAGGGTCTTTGAGGCCGTAAAGTATTTTAATTTCAATACTTCTTGACCAAGTAATGACATTATTATTCTCTTTGTCCACTTTGTTGACGTATTGTGCACATCATGACCAATTGCCGTGTGAAACTATATTTCGACAAATTGGCGAAACAAAGAGACAATAATTGAAAAAGGAGAAGTCTGACAAACAAGCTTCTGCTTTCCTATACCACTATGTGAGCTCTATGACCAGGCCCTAACAGTCAAAACATTCTAAATGTTATAATCTTTACTGCGTCCAGGGAAATTGGCGTAAGTTGGTTCTGGTTCGACCTGGTTTTGAAACTGACTGATATCTGCATAGTCTGTCTCAGTGTATTGCGCAGGTCGGGGASCAGCAGGGACGTTGTTAGTGTTGAAGTCAGCCAATTCAGCGTAAATGATTTCACCAGGTTTCTGGAGGAAATAAAAAAAACATTTTAATAAATAATCAATACAAGAAACGATGAGCTAGATGGAAGATATATGTTGTAAGTGGAGCCGAGGAATGTTAGACAGAGTGTTGATGGAATCAGTTTCAGAAGGCAAACCGAGGAGCCCTAGCTGTTTCTTTTATAATCCACTTTACTTTTTGACAGTTACGTCTTTTCTCTCAACGTTTTATGGAAAAACGAAAATACAGAAAATTGCACACATAAGAAAAAAAGGACAATAATAAGTAAATTTATTCGGTGTTAATATATCATGCCGTTCGGTTACCTTCTTTTTCTTGGATTTATCAACAGCAGCGTAGTTTGGAATCTCGTCTTTTTTCTTGGTTTTCTTGGTCATGTCTACAGCTGCGTAGGTTGGTACGCTGTCATCATTGAGAGTGACAACTGCTGCTCCTCTACCAATTGAATCACTAGAATCCACGTCATTATGGTATGCAGCACTGTAAATGAAACAATATACGATAATCAAGTAACTTTATTTTACTTGCACTTTTGACAAAAAAGAATTAATATTGAATAAATCCCGAAAACGCTCTTTCAAGTAAATTAATGATATGTTCCAAAGCATTTTGATTTTAATTAAATTTAATGAAACTTTGGCATGTTGCTATTATTCAGATTAACATAGTGTTGAAGTATTAAGAGTTGTTAATGTCTGTTGCGAAATTACACGGAAAACACGAATCTCAATATATAAATGTCGTGTTCATTTTGTCTATTCAATTTATGATTTTAACCAGAGTTAAACTTCTATTTCAACATCAAAGTCATCCTCGTGGTCGGAATCTAACAGCTGCTAAGAGAAAAATGTACAGTCACTTCGAAATAAAAAGTGTTCTAAAAGAAAATAAATTCCCAGTGCTGGTATCATTATTTCCTCAAATTGACGCCGCACACAGACGCGGCGTCTTGTAATATTTTGAGCTTTAAGTGCGGTGTCTATTTGAGGGCGGCGTCTATTCAAGTAAATACGGTATACACACAAAAAAACAACTACTGTGATCTTTAAAGAAAGATATTATATACATACGTTTGCTGATTCGAATTCCTTTTTTTGCCTAATAAACAAGCAAAGACTTAGTAATTAAGGTTGGACGACGACGAACGGCCAACTCTATATTGTCACGGACTTACCAGATTTACCAAATGCGTTCTTTTTTCTCAGGATAACAATAGATATCACTGCAGTAATCGCTATTAAAACCACAGCTACTACAGCACCCGCAATTATGATAGGCTGATTGGGGTCACTTTCATCACTTGAACTCTTTCCTTTCGATGGTGCTAAAGAAAAAAGGATACTCCAAGTTTACTGGTATGATATAGCAATAGCCTGTGAGCAAACCCTGGGTGGTGAGGCTCAATTTTTGTAATATTTTTCAGCAATGAAATCGTGCATTGCCAAGTGGAATATTCCCAAGAATATTCCCAAGAATTAAATAAACGTCTCCAACTCTTATGAAAGCATATAATCAATATATAACGTAGAAAATCAAACGTCTCTTGTCATATTATATCAGCTATTTGTTTGGGGATAGTACTGGTCCACGTGCGACCTGAGCCTAAGAAATTTGCAAAATAACGTGGAAATTGTCTGACTTTGCATGCACTAGAAAATGCAACAATGATGAATAAAGATACAGTAATGGACATTACATTCAACGTGGACTTACCAATAACACTAGTTGTAGGAGCAGTAGTGGTTTCAACAGGCAACGTCACTGTTTTCACATTTACATCCATTAAGCTGCTTCCATCTTTATTTTTTGCAGTGACATGAAAACTGTACGTTTTTCCTGGAAGGAGATCTTTAACCGTGTATGTGAGTGGTTCTCCTTCAAGTGTACCAACCTGCGACCATTTGTTAGCATCAACAAGTTTCTTATAGATTGTGTAGTGTTGTATTTCACCTCCATTCTCTTCTGGTTTTGACCAGCTCAAAGTAACTGTTGTTGAACTGGACTGAGTTACCTCCAAAACAGGTGAACCTGGTGGTCCTAACAACACAAACAATACAGTTTACAATGCAAATTTTTTGCTAATGAATAATAGTAGTGCTGATGGTTGTGGTTGGTGATTATGATGATGATGATAACATATGTAGCCAAAGCACTGAATCTAGGGAGATCATATTATTATAGAACATCCCCCTTTCTCCAAGAAAAATGTTCCCTTGTAACATTGCTTTCAATAGAAAATCAAAATCAATAGCTAGAGTCAACGCATTTATACCGTGAAACATCATCAAAAAAGTAGAAACTATTAGTTTTTATTTAATGACTAATTGTATGTAATTGTAGATATCACTGAAACAGACCACTTCATGAAAACATAACGTAAATCACAAGAGACCGTGAGGCCCTGTTTACATGGAGATAGGGTCACCCTACTCGAGGAGAGTGACCCTACTCCGTTGATTTCGCGTGTTTTGTTTACATGTAAGGTAGGGTCCCCCTAGAGGTAGGGTCACCCTTTTTCAGGTATAACTAGCTTTTTGAGTTTTCATGTAAAGGGGGGCTATAATTTGACCCTTCTGATAGGGTGACCCTCCTAGTAGGGTGACTCTATCTCCATATAAACAGGGCCTTGGAGTACAAATAAAATACCCGTAAAATAGATAGCTTACTAACTAATTACTAACTATGTGCTAAGTATTACCTAATAATTTGTTTAAAAATATTTGAGCCGTGAAAGTGCACGTGGGTTTATGCACACGTCTTCCTCGGACCTTAACTAGCCAGCTACACTTAAAAACCGTTACAAATGCTGCTGGAAATAGTGTTTTGGTAGCCAAAATCTCTTGCAAAAAGTTGTGGTTCATTTTGAACTTTAAGCAAAAGATAAATTTAAAACGGCGCTTCTGATTCTTGAAGTACGTTTTAGCTTTGAGAGAAAACACGTTCATTTGCGCACTGGGTCTTGATATTTTTATATTTTCTAGTACTCTAGCCTTACAATGTGTTCTGTCTTGATGTTGCTGCAGCGCAGAGAATTAAGACTCTTAAACGCGTTTCCTTGCGTATTGTTTGGTTATTTTAGCTTTATATGTGTCTTGTGTCTTGATTTTGCAGCAGTGCAACTAAACAAAAATTCTTAAACGCGTTTTCTTGCGTATCGTAGTTATTTTTGATTTAATTGTGTCTTTTGTCGTTTGCAATCTAAAGGCTACCTAAAGTGATCGCACGTAGTCTAAATGGTGCAACTGTAGAAACTAAATAGTGCTATTTAGTTGTATTTAGTAAATCGTGCATGCGGTACGCAAATTAAATTGAATTTGATACAAATGAAGCATGCAATAGAGTGATCGCACTTAAACCGTGTAACTGTACAAACTAAATAGTTCTATTTAGTTGTATTTAGTAAATCGTGCATGCGATACGCAATGAAATTGATTGATACAAATGACGCATTCAATACCGTCTTGCTGCAGGTCGCACTTTTAGTACAAATTAGTACTACTTAGATTTTGTACAGTTCCAAGGTTTAAGTGCGATCATTCTAATGAAGGAGGAATTTGCAGTTGTCAAGTCTCTTGTGTACTGCCTTTTACTTTCATGAATTGTTCAGGTTCAGTGATATCTACTATTAGTCAGTAAATAGAAACTGACAGTTACTGTTTATTTTGATCATATTTCACAGTACAAGTGCGTTTACTCTACTTATTTTAAGAATAGGATCCGGAAATAGTTAATGTGAGATATCATTTACATGTATACATTCCAATGGCCCACGTTATTTTCTCTCTATTATTCGCTCAAGACACAATTTTTATTTGTAAGAGGTAGATGGCCATGACTGCATCTAAAGAAGATTCCTGTGTTATATTCTCGCATGTGGTGATGCTATGATGTGAGGGAGATTATATTTTATTGAAGTTTATTTACTCCAAATTACATACCTTCCTTTTTGGTGGTAAAAGTCCTAGTTGAGGCATTTCCATAATCTACAACATTTCCGGCGTATAATTTGACAACATACTTTCTGTTATTTGTAAGTGTAGGGATAGTGAAATGATTGGGTTTCCAGGCAGGGATGGTATAAGTCTTAGAGTCAATTTCCACTTTGTATTCAATCACTTTACTACCACCATTGTCAACTGGTTCCATCCACTGTACAACAGCTGAAGATGCCTTAATGTCTGTAACATTAAAGTGTGGTGCTCCAGGAGGAACTGAAAATAGAAAGAGGTTATTAGACAACAACAAGTTTATAGAAAGAAAACTAACATAACTATCGCACTAGCACCTAAAGTAAAAGCTTTTTACTTAAAAGTAAGTTGGAACGGAATATTTTGTACTAGTCTTCACCTAAAAGGTTCCTTGGCAAACAAGTATCAAATATATGAATATGAAGACCGCATGGCACTATGATAAACACGATATAGAAATGAAAGAAAGTTATAGTGCTTAGAAGGAGGCAATTCCGGGAGAAGTCCCTTAGAAATAAATTCGGAAAAATTAATTTCCGACCTCGCTGGGATTCGAACCCACGACCTTCGGATTTGTACACCGATGCTCTACCAGCTGAGCTACAAGGCCAGACTRGGAGCAGGTCGGGGTGAAATAGATGTAAAGGTTGCGGTAATAGAATAATGTAAAGATATGAATATGAAGACCGCATGGCACTATTTTTTTCCCGGAATTGCCTCCTTCTAAGCACTATAACTTTCTTTCATTTCTATATCGTAAGTATCAAATATATGTTGATTGGATATGGGAATAAACCATATTTCTAAAGTTCAGCCAAAAATTAAATTTATTATAAATAGAGCTGAGCTTTTGCACTGCTGCTGTATCCCTCAGGGCTAAAATGAATTATTGACAGTAAACCAATAATTTTTTTTGTGCATATTTTACAAGTTTTCTACATGTAAGTTACATGAAGTGATGCTTTTTATCTAGTAATTCAAAATGTCAATGATGGCATCATTTTAAGGTAACTACCCTAGTACTCCATGTATTTTATTTTTCTTATTCAGATTCTTATTCCTTGCAAAGACTAGCAAAATAAAAAAAACTAATCACATTACAAAAAATTCTAAAATGAAGGATATTTTTTTAAATTTAAATATACACATTAAAATACTTACATAATTGAGTTACACTGATAACATGTCCATCATTACCAGCCACATTGGTTGCATTGCATATATAAGGACCATAATCTCTCTTGCCATTTGTTGTTACTCTTATCTCACTGCCATGGAAAATAGGAGAAGAAGTAATACTTTCTCCACTTGGTTTGCTCCAAGACCAGTTTGGTGGTGGATTTGAACTTGACCATTTGCAAATCAACTTTATTGTATGGCCATCCCATGACTCAACACTGGAATTTGAAAAGTCTTTGTTGATAGTTGGCTTGTCTAGAAAAAAAAATATAATTACATGGCTATATTGAGATGACCACTGATGTGCTAGCCTTATTTTTTAATCTGTGTTCTCATGTCAAAATGGCATCGTCAGCTTGGGATTTGTTCAATTGTTTTTTTAAATATTGTTAATTTGTAAATTCATAATTTACTGTTTGAAGGTGAAAGTGATTCTGGTGTCAAATATGGTGAAAGTGTAGGGATTCATTTGAGAATATCATGTAAGTGTGGATTCTTAAAAAAATGAAAAAATGTACTTGAACACAATTAAAGGGGTGAAACCAAACGGCATTAACCACATAGTTGGCCATTTTTTTTCAAAATGAAGCATTCAGCGCAAGTCGTAGCTGTTATAATTACAACTGGACGCATCAGATGTTGCACACCTAATTTCAATGTGCCTCTTTTATTTAGCCAAATCCAAGTTTTACACAATAACATAATGACATCAATTGAATATATTGGCTACATTTACTCCACTGCACAATCAGAATATTATTTCACCTACATTTAACTGTGATACAATCACACTTACATTGTACAATCACTTCAATTATTGCAGTGGCAATCCCTATTCCATTGTTGGCGGCACAGGTGTAATTTCCAGCGTTTGATTTATTGACCTGAGAGATAGTGTAGTTATTTCCAGTGCTTAATAGAGTGACACTCTTGGTCCATAACTTGGTCCATGTGATGTTTGGTACAGGAAAACCATCTGCTTTACATGTCAATGTTACTGAGTCACTTTCATTTACTGTGTGTTTACTTGAATTATGAACAATAGATGGCTGATCTACAGGGAAATGAAATTAAACAAAAAGTAATTGCAGGCACCAATATGTAAAGAAAACTAAGTACAGCTGTTTGCAATAATTCTGACCCCCTCTGCCATATTTCATATATATCAAACTGACCTTAAATATTATGGGATATCATGACTGATATATTTTTTGAGTTGCCCAGAATGAGTACTTTCTCAAAAAAATATCAGCATTGGTATCCCATAATTTCTAAGGCTACTTTGATATATATGAATATTAGTGTAGGGGGGGGGGGGTCAGAATTATTGCAAACAGCTGTATATAAAATAAAAAGTAAATATACATATATAATCATATAAAACAACTTCATTATCAGAGAGATTGACATTATTTTATTACAATTTGCTACAACTTTATTATAAACAAGCTAGTTGAGCAGAAACAAAACTATACAAAAAGGTCAATAAACTGGCAATTCAATGTGAAAGACAATTAGATTAAAAAAATATATAAATATACACTTACATTTTACTACAACATACGCATGTGCTTTTTCTTCATGTTTCCCTCTATCATAAAAATTGTTTGCAGTACAGGTGTACTTGCCAGCATTAGACTTGTCTACATTGAGGATATTCAAAGTACTACCAGTTCCCACTTGTCTAACATTTCTTTGTCCATCTTCTCTTTCCCAATAAATGTTACTTGGGGGATTGCTTGAAGCCATACACTGTAGTATGATGTTATCACCCTGTGTGACAGTTGTATTTATCGGCAACAAGGTAAACTCTGGTGGATCTGCAAACAGGTAAAATGTGCAGCCAACAAAGATGAAAAACCCAGAAGGAACATATAGCAAATTGTGAAGTTTCCCAAGTTGCCAACATTTTCACAGATCCCTTAGGTCATGAGTGACCAAATTCCTGTTTGCTAGTCGGGCTAGGCATAGGCTAGACCGGAATTATTCACCTTTCCGACAATCAGCTGATGCCTTTGTACTACCAAATGGTAATAAATTGACTTCTTTGTGCTGACGGCTTACGTTAGTTCTTCTTTCTAAATCTCAGGATGGTTTTCAGAATTCCATCAACTTAATTGTGTTGCTAACTTTGGAAAAAACTCTAATTATGGGCATAAATGAGAAAAAAGTCCTGATTTTCCAAAAAAAAAAGGTAGTCAAAGAAGACGAAGCAAAGAGCATTTGTAGTGAGTAATAGAAATTTTGAGACTGTTAAAAAGAATTCACTTATTTGCTAAGAATTTGGTTAAATGAGTCCAGAAACTTTATTATTCATCAAGAAAAATACTACACTGGGATCACAATCATTTACAGATGAAAACACATCAAACAGCAAAAAGAATCACAGATTGAGTTTACTCAGAAAGCATTAATTAAAGTTTTTTTTTTTCTAAACTAAATTTTAATATAAATCTCCAGAATAACCCAAATATCGATGTTGAAAATTACCTAATTATGAAGAGATTTCAATGGCTTAGTCTCGGTGAGTTAGTCGCAACTAGGGGAAAATGTAAATTTTCAAGGTTATTTTGTAGACATTGCAGGCTAATATAGATTGATCAACATCCTCGAATGGCTACAAGCTACGTACTTTACATGTACACATGTATGGATTACTCATTTATAGTCCTTTTTTTGGAAAACAATTGAAAATATGAAAGGAGCGTCGTAATTTTTACCAAATTGAGTAACAATTACTCGTACTGATACGACGTTTGGATTGTGACCATGGAGAGCCAACTTTCCTTATCTTACTTTTAGTAAATTTTAATTTATTAAATTAAATATAAATGAGTGTTTACACATACTTGAAAGCGACAATTTTGCATAAAGTATACAAAATCTATTCATTTGACTTTTACTTTAAATTCTCACATACACAAATGCTTATTTCGAGTGAAGTCAAAAGAATCAAATAAATCTGTGAAATTGAATATTTTGTGTGTTGATTTTGGATTTCCGGTCATTGCTTGTTTTAAGGAAATGTTGTAACAATCGTTGTCTCAAAACTGTCAAATAATTGAGTTTGTTAATAAATTTACATGCAACTCGTGAACATACATGTATGGTGCCATATACTGGTAATGAATCCAGTAAAAATTGAAGGGGCAGATGCGAGAATGGCTTAGGTGACGATTCAGGGTATTTTTGAAATTTTCGAAAAATTGAAAAAAAATCACTTCAATCGCTTATTTTCAGTCTAGATAATCTTATTTCTATAACATGTTGCACTCAGAATTCACTAATTGGTCTTGGCCATAATCTAACTAAAACCAAAGTCATTAAAGGGACACTGTCAATGGATGACATACATGTACGCAGTAACAGTCTCACCTCGGACTTTGAAAGTATTATCTTCGAGGCAGATCATTTTTTGCAGAGTCTCAAGCCAAACCAGATGCTGCGGACTGGAGACTGGACACAGGGTTGTTTCAGACCCTCAATCAACTTTTCGGTCCATAATTTACAATCGACCTTTTTGCCAACAGGAACAATGCACATATGGATCGTTTTTACAGCTACCTTCCGGACCCAGAAGCGGAACAGTTTGATGCTCTCATTCAGCCATGGAAAGGGGAAAATTGTTATGTATTCCCTCCTTTCAATCTGATCAGCAAGTGCCTCAGATAGACAAGCAAGGAAGGGACGTCAGTACTTCTGATATGCCCAGTATGGCCTGCCCAGACAAGGTACCCACACCTTCTGAGCCTTCTGGTTTGCACCCTGCCATCAGGGCCTCCTAACAGACCCTCTGGGCAACCATCATCCACTAGTCAAAAACAGCTCCTTGGTCCTGGCAGGATGGAAGGTCTCAGGCATCAGTTCTAAACAGAGGGAATATCTGAAAACACTGCAGACATTCTCTTGTCTGCCCAAAGAGTGTCAACAAGGGCTCAGTACAAGTCTTGCTGGTCAAAATGGAATTGCTTGTGTGCTAAGAGACAAAGTGATCCCTTTCGACCACCTGTGAAGGATGTTTTATTTGATCAAGGTAAGCAATATGCTACTATCAATACTTACTGATCTAAGCTTATGAAGGCTGTGTTTACAAAAGGCCCTAAAGTGACCGTCTTGTTTGTAACTTGGCCTGATAATAGTGCCCTTGACCTTAAACGTTTGTCTAAAAAGTGTGCAATGCTTTTAGCCCTTACAAGTGCTAAACGTCAATCTGATCTACATGCCATAGATCTGAATTTTATGAAAAAAACGTTTACTGCTGTTTCTACAGCATCGATTGGGAGATGGTTGAAGGAGGTCCTAAAGGAGGCAGGAGTAGACACGTGACTGTGTCTTCAAGGCACATTCCACAATGAGTGCGTCTACGTCTTCAGCGAGAAGAAGTGGAGTTTCAGTTCAGGACATTTTAAATGCTGCAGATTGGTCTAGAGAGACAACATTCAATCACTTCTATTATTGCCAGACTTATTCAAGCTCTTTTGGAAGAGCAGTCCTGTCATAGGTCAGTAGCTCTGAACGAGACCAATTAGTGAATTCTGAGAGCAACATGTTTAGAATTGAAGATTGTGCTAGGCTACAAATTAGCTGAAGTACAATCAGGATTCTATCATTGTTGCACGAAGAATTCCTGTATCATAAAATATTACTATTAGAATGTCCAAGAATATTATTGAGTAATAGAGATAAGAAAGTTGTTTATATACATATGTTGTTATCCCTGTGTATCTGACCCGTAGCCGTGGCCTACAAGTGAGGGTTTGAGTGGCGGTATTCGATAGTTGTACCTTCTGATTGTACTTCAGCTACTTTGTAGCCTAATACAATCTTCAATTAGCACTTATTTGTCCTGATTTCTTTCTAAAAAGAGCAAAAAAAGACCCATAGTTACGGACTTCTTTGGCTTGACAACTGATCGCTAGACCGTAGAATATCCCAGATTTGCATATTCAAGCTAACAACTCCTGACTTTGACAGTTGGTTTGTTTTGGCTCGAAGCTGTACTGCAAGAAGTCGAGAAATGCGTTTTTTCACGGGGTTTTTTCAGCTTTTTTGCCTTTAGTCACTACTCTACGGACATCATTAAGTTTGTAGGTAGCGAAGGAGCTAAGGGACGGCCCATTTAACTTTTGAGGGGGTTTTGAAAAAAAAAATCCTGCAAGCCATCTTCACCAAAAATAAAAATCGTGCACAACATATGGRCCTAAAAAAAATCTTGCACCACCCTAAGCCCCAAAAAATGTTACATACAAGAAGAAAAAAAATTGGTCAAATTCCCCACCATATGGGCAAAATTGACAGTCAAATGCCTACTAGTAAAAGCAAATGAGTGGTCAAATGCCCGCCCCATAAGTCAGTTTTTTTACGCTAGTTTTCGAGTGTTTTTGTTGCTTTTTGTATTGTGATTTCTCATCGTGAAAGTACAAAAGATCGAGAATGTTCCCAAAAATGATTGTAAGCCTCGTGGCTGCTAATAGCGATCCGTGATGATGTGAAGCGCCTTTGAACTGTAAGGATATTGGCGCTATATAAATAATACGTATTATTATTATTAAAATGCTTATAGGTTCCCGAGATATTTTTATTTTTAATTTAAGCTTAAAAGTTCGTATTGTGTCTGAATCGATAATTTCCAAGATGGTCGCCTATACTCGTCAAATGCCCGCCCATCTGCATGTGTTTTACTCTTCCCGTGAATAATGAAAGATCGACGTTTTGTATGTAGATGAAACTGTGCAAAAATACTCGAAGGTGGAAATTTGTACTTATAGGAAAATTCATTGGATGACGAGGGAATTCCGCAATGAATTTCACGAGAAAAACGATATCGTTTTTTCGAGTGAAATTCATTGCGGAATTCCCGAGTCATCTAATGAATTTTTCTTGAATCTCATACCAACACATTATTTACAATTGGAAAATTTTTTCGACAACGTGAACCTCGTCACGCGCCCTTCGGAAGCCATTTCGTAGCTGACTATATGATTAGCCAGTAGGAAATGATCACAAATTTATCTGTTAGTGAACGTTTCATCATTTCATTCACTAAGTTAAATTCGCACGTCTTTGTACGTTGATTTGAGATATCCACGCAATTTTCAAAGGCGAAATTACAATTCTATTCTTTTTAGAATTACATAAGATTTTAATTTAGGTAGGTTTCCGCTCTGGGCACGTCCCGGGTTTTTCAAGAAATAGTTTTAAACCAGTGGGCCCGACATATTGAACTCTAGAAAAAAGAGAAAAACCTTTCGATTGAAGCTTAATCCGAATTCTTGGTCGAAAGTCTTACACTTTATAATTGTTTTTATTTGCTCGAGAGATGGAGAAAATACATTGAAAGTTCTGGCTTTTGGAGATGTTTATTTCCGACATTATGACCAAAAACGTGCGACGTGTCAACATCAACATTTTTGCACACGCCCTTAAAACAGTGAGCTAGAAATGTATGCCACGCAATTTTCATTGACTTGATTTAAATAAAATCTGAAAGTTCTATAAACAAGGCTTCATCCAGTTGTTTATTTGTTCTGGGCACGACCTACGACAAAAGTCCTGGTGTGTTATTCAAAATTGAAAGAACCAAACATTTATATTGAAGTGGATATTTCATGATGAAACTTCACAAACAACTTCCATATTGATGTAGGCCAAATTGCATCAGGTAATTAATACAACTTCTGACAATGTAAATCTTGGATTTCAACTCGCTTCGTTTATAAATTACCAAGAAATTTCTGTTTGCTTATCATCTATACAAAAACATGCCATCTAACATGAATCGCATAATCTCATATCCATTAGATCTTGATCATTTCAGTCT